CCACTGGTATGGGAGATGCTGATAAGCCCAGTGCTCTTGGAAATATTGCCAATGGCAATTAGTCAGCAGTTGGTGGTGGTGAGAATAGTGGCACACCTCCCCACAGTAAGTGTTCCCCTTAGTGCTTAGTCCCTGTAAGCTCTGGAGCTGGAAGGGACCTTGCATGTCATCTAGTCTAACTACCTCATTTTACAGATAAGGAAACTGAGGCCCAGGAAGTCAAAGTATCTTGCCCAAGCCCACACAGCTAGTGAGTGACAGAGCCAGAATTATAACCCGGGCCCCTTGACTCCAAGTTCAGTGAATTTTCATTGTATCTTGCTGCCTCCCAGGAGTGTGTTTCAGGCTAGGTGAGAATTACTTAATTCCTTGTGGTGGAGAATGTTTGTGACAGACAAGGTCATCTGCCAATCAAAAGAGAGCTAGATTTTCTAAGCCAAGAGAAGGGGCAAATGCAAACCTTTATATTTGAAAGAGTGGGAAAGGTCTTGGGGACGGGAGAGGTGCCAGTATATCAGGAGTTGGGGCGAGGAAAAGGGAGGTATGGGTAAATGCTATGAAGATGGCTAAATGGGCAGCTAGATGGTGAAGTGGACAGAAAACTGGTCTTGGAGACCTAAGCTCAAATACTGCTGCAGACATTTCCTAGTTGTGTGACCTTGGGCAAATCACCTAACTTCTGTTTGCCTCAGTTTCCTCAACTGTAAAATGGGGATAATAGCACCTAGCTCATAGCATTGTTGTGAAGATCAAATGAGATAATATTCGTAAAACACTTAGCACGGTACCTGGCACATAGCAGGTGCTATATAAATGTTGCTATTGTTATTATTCTTATTAAATGCTCCTGAAAGGTATCATCAGATGCCCTGGAACCTTCCCCTCCATACCAACATTTTTGCAGTGAAGACTGTGTGAGGAGCAGAGAGGACAGGAAATGAGAGAAGGAAAGAGGAGGGGAGGAAAGTGAACAATTAGGAGGGGAGCAGAACTATAGTTAAGAGTTTCTGCATCTGGTGGGGTTGGGGAAACCTGGCCTAAGGGGAAGTAATACCGCTGTGCTATAAAGTTTCTAAACTGCTATAGGGGGGCGGAGGAATTGCCGCCAGTATTAGGCAGAGGCAATGAACAGCTACTGCTGTGGAGCAGAGGAGAAGGAGTAATCTACACACGCGCACACATAGACCCCTCCACATTTCCTATCCTGGAGTAACCCAGGTTACAACTCTGAGTGGAAGGACCAGGTGGACCTTGACAATGAAACCTCCTTGCCTCCTCTTCACAAGGATTCCTGGAGAGGTCACTAAAAGTAGGGGATGGAGCAGCAATCTAATGAGGGAACACAAGCTTAGCTGGGGGATGTCTGGTCTCCTTGGGTGGTGTAGGGGGCCGTCTCTCCCTATGATGAGATATATTACCTTGAGCTAAGGAAGGATAGATTCACAATGTACACCATGGCGTGGGGGGGGGTTGGGGGGGTGGAGAAAGGAAGCTTATAGACAGCATCTAGGGTACTACCTGAATTATTTTTACAGGTGAATCAACTGAGACTCACAGAAATTCCCTGACTCCTGCATAAATTTGGCATCTAGCTAAGTGATAGTGATATGCATACAAAAGAGAAGTAACAATCATAGAGGTTTGCAGCACAGAAATCCAACCATAAGAGTCCAACCCTCTCATTTTACAGTTAAGGAAACAGGCTCAGGGAAGAGAAGGGACTTGTCCAAAGTCACTTAGATCTTGTATTTGTGCCATCCCATACCATAGTGTCTCATGATGATGGTGGTGATGGTGGAGGTGCTTGTTTCTCTTCTAATTTTTTTTTTACCATTTCCACTGGATGTTTTCTTCACAGAATTCAACAGTCAATTTCCAACTCCAGCTATTATGGGAACAATCTGGGCATGGATGGTTTCAGTGAAAGGTTCTGGGAGACCAATGCCATCTGGTAGGAAAATATTTCTCTTGGTTTCAAAACAAGAAGTCGAAATGTCTCCTTCCCCTTAGTTCCTATGTCAGGAGCTGTTTGTTAAGGAGAATATGCTTGATATCCCTAAGGTGAAGAGAGAAAATGGAAGTGGAACTATAACGAGAAAACTCTTTTGTTTTGGTGGTTACCAAGCTCTGGAGATTAAAGTTTCAGTCGGTTTAGTGGGAACAAAACCTGCCCTAACTGAAGGGAAGGAAGAGAAAGGGGAGAAAGAAAATGGAACCCCATCTGAGCATGATTCAGAACTGACCTCCCCCACCCACCCACACCAAGAAAGTCATGGGTGGAATATCCTAGAATCATCTATGACATCATGAAACATCTCCTGTGGTAATAATACTGGAGTGGAGGGAAAATGAAGTTGTGGCTGTGGCTGTGGCTGTGTTTAACAGGGGTATGGGCCGTGGGAGCAGGTAGGGAACCTGGGAAACTGGGAGCTGGCTTCAGATAATGCGTAAAGGTACTACCTGAGGAATCCAGGGGATTAGGGAAAGAGATATAGTCCCTTATTTTTAGCCCAGGAGATATTAATGGATCTCCTTAAGTGTTTGGGCAATAATATGAGCTTCTGTGGGGTAAGGTGACCTCAAATTCCAGTAGAGACCCTGCTCCTTCATTCCAGATGAGCTGTCCCAAAGAAATGTGGGGATGCCTTGTACAGAGACTCATCAGTCTGAGGGTGATCTGATTGATCCATTGGACCTCTGAAGTGACCCTTGCAGTAACTGTGGGACCCTTGCTTGTACCCAAGAACTTATAGCCCTGATATGAGGCCCTCTTGTCAGAAACAAATAGGCTAGGTTTGTTAGGTATGCCCCACCCTGGGACAACTGGTCAACCCTGAGCACTCAGTGACTTGGTCAGTCCCTTTAGTGTTTACTGCAGTAATATTTGCTGAGGAAAGTCAACTTCCAAGGTGGGGTGCACTTTTAGTGATTTTTTCCCCTTGGATTCCAGCCTTTCATCCCCGGGATTCCATGAAGGTGACTCCACAAGGGTCTCTGTTTCTTGAAGATAATCCCAACTTCTTTGATTACCCAGATTCAGCCAGGGACAAAATCCAGGCTGTCTCCGACTTCATTGGAGAGAAACCTGTTTATTTCACTTCAGATTCAGGTGGGGGTATTTGAGAAGCTCCTATTTTCGGAACCTCAGAAATTCAGGCCTCAGGACAAGAGTTTATTCTCCCACAGACTATCATATAGTGAGGGAGCTAGCTACAGTGTAAGCAAGTCACATCAAGTCTCTGAAGTTGTTTCCTTATCTACAAAATGAGGAGGATGTTACTACTAGCCCCAAGGGGTTGTTGTGAGGAAAAAACTATGGAAATTATGCAAAGTGCCATGTGAATGTGAGCTGTATTCCTCAATAATCTCCATCCCTGTTCCCACTTTTCCTGAATGTGCCAGTGGGGAAAAGGAAAAATGTAACACGGCCCCTAAATCTGATATCTGCAAAACACTTTAACGTTTCCATTTTATATGAGGAAACCGAGGCTCAGAGAGTGATTTGCCTGGCTCAGGAAGGATGTGAACCTGGGTCTTTTTTACTCCAAAGTATAGTTTTTAAAATATCTAAATCTTCCTCCTCTCTCCCAAATAGGCTTCAAATCCAGGTTCTTGCACCAAATATTGTTTGGTTCATTCATCCTCCTCCTTATCACCATCCTCTACCAGTTCTGCACCCACATGTAAGGCCCTGCCACCCACCCAAGACCCTCAACTCTTCCACCACAATACCACCAACCTCATTCTGTTGCCTACTCTAAGGGATTCCTATCACTTATGGCTGGGGAAGGGAGTGATGGGTATTCTTAACCTACAATTCATTCTTGTGCTCTGCAGGAGTTGCCAAAGAGGGTCCTAAGGAGATGGACAATCCATCTCTGCTCATGGCTCCTTGACAACCTAAACTCATCCTCTCTACAAATTACTCAATAAAAACTACTCATTCCCTACTATGGCTATTCTACTGAGCATGTTTTCTTTCTTCCCATAACTCCAATGCCTTATCTCCCCAGCTCCTGCTCTCTTCAATAACTTAAGTGTCCCATTTCTCCCCCCATCTCCCCCAAATAATTGAGATTAGGTCCTAGTGGCATTCACGTTGATCTCATCTTTATTAGCAGTCTTTATATAGCGCCTCCCAAGGTTCCCCCTGCTCCTGGATCTGGAGGAAGCCTCAAGAGGTCTGTAGCACCAGGGACAGGTGAGAGAGGGCAAGAAGGCCAAATTATATAGCCTGAAGGAACCAGCGCAAGAGCCCCTCCCCCAGCTTCCCCCAAGTGGGGCACTCAGCACTGGAGAGGCTGGGACAGGTGGTGATGTGTGGCATGTAGACATCTGCCTCCCCATAAAAAACTAATACAAACCTGGGGAAATAAATAAAATCCCTAAGGGTCTGGAAAGATGCTGGGCTGCCTGTGTAGGAGAGGAGCTAGCTAGCTCTAAGGGGTAGCCAACCTATCCCCTGGTGAGACACAAAGAGGTTAGGGGTACCTCTCCCAGCCAGAGGGATGCATGAGGTTAGGAGCTGCCTTCCCCTAGACTATAGCATATGGGGAAGGGAAATAGGCATGTCCTTGGCAAAAGGGAGAGGGCCTTCCCCTACTTTATTTACTCCTTGATTCTCTATAATTCCTGTTAGTCTCCCCCCTTAATCCATCCTACCCTAAATTGCTATGGAATACGGCACCTTCCTCTTTAATTTCCCTCCTCTAGGCCCCCTGCAGATTACAGTTGGAAAAAAGGGTGTCCCTGGAGTTATATAAGCAGGAGGGTGCCTCCTAATTTCCACTTTCCCAGTCCCTACACAAAGGAGAGCATTGGCCATTCCAAACCCTCTGTCCCTCAGTCCCAGGCACCCTGGGGACAAGAGAGGTAGCTGTTTCCTACAAGCCTGGTCCCTTTATCATCTTATGGGGAGAAGCTTTCCCCCAATTTCTCCATCCCTAGGACCACTGGAGAGGCCCCTGGTCCCCATCCCTACCCTTCAGTCCCAGAGCCCAGTTCCTGGAGGGAATAGGTGCCCCCACCCACTCCCTCCCCTCAGTCCTGGGGCCCATCGTGCAGTCCTGGGGGCTGGCGGGGGGCTGGAGGGGTGGGTCCCCGAGGCCTGAAGAGGCGACATGCCCCCCGGCAGATGAGGAAGAACCAGTAGAGCTGTGGAGCCAGCAGCAGGGCGGCCCCCAGGTTGACATGGGCTGGGATATTGAGGGGCACGGAGAGCAGGGGCAGGCCTGCGTGCTGACCGTAGGCCCAGTACAGGTAGGGGAAGAGCAGCACTCGACAGCACAGGAAGCTCAGCAGCATGAGGGTGCCGTTCACTTTGTGCAGCAGGGTGTGCTGCTGCTTGTACTGGTGGGGAAAAGAGAGAAGAGTATGAGTGGATGAGGATGGGGATGGGGAGTAGGGAGGAGGCCCCGGGAAAGGGGACAGCAAGGATCATCCTGGGCCAGCCCCCACACTCGTCCCCCCCTCCTCCATCCATTCTATTGGATAACAGAGTACATGGAAGCAAGGTAAGGGAGGCAGAAGGGAACTAGGATTGAAGGTCCTAGGGACTCTAGTCAAGCACAGCCCTCTCTCTGCCTCCATGGGGACCTCTCATTAGCTCATGTGGCTCCCCAGCCCTAAGTAACTTCAGTACCTTGGAGACTTCCTTGTCCAACCTAACCTCACCTTCCTCCCTCTCTTCTGCTCTCTATCACTTTCTCACCTGGATGAGGATCTTGCCCAGGCAGACAAAGGGTGTGCTGACTTCAGCCATCAACATGCAGCCCAGGAAGAAGTCCCCCTTGCCTTGGCGCCACACCTTAGAGGAGAGAAAAATGGCAAGAGAATGTAACCACAGTGGCCTCACCTTCCTGCTCCTTTCTTCCCTTGCTGTCTCTTTCTAGCCCCAGAGTAGAAGTCATTTTATCTCCCCCAATCCCACCTTTTGTGGCCTCAGCCACCCTCTCGGTGCAAAAGAAATGCTGGTTGCCTACAATAATTTAAGAACATCAGCTCCTTAAGGTTGAGGACTTTTGTTTCTGTCTCTGAATCTCCGGCATCTAGCACAGTGCCTGGCATGTTGGGAGCATGAGGATGTATTAAGTTGCAATTTCATCAATGCAGGGAGCTCCCAGTAAGGAAACTCCTACCAGTTTCTTAATAAATGCTTGTTGGAGGGAAGAATGAATGAATGAATGAATAATAACTCTTTCTGGTCCCATCCTGCAGTTGCCACCCTCAGCTCAGGCTTCCCCCCCCACCCCCACCCCCACATCCCTATGACTTTCAGTATGCCAAGCAAAATTCACCATGGTGTTGGGTCCCTTCAACCCTTCCTCCAACTCCCCTGGAACTCACCACTGATAGTGGAAAGCAGACCAGCACCATGACTGCATGGTGCAGCACCATGAGGAATTCCTTGTGCAGATAACCTCGGGCCACAGCCCAAGTGCCTCCTGGGGAGCCAGCCCCTCCCTCATCCTTTCCATGACCTTTGACCTGGTGCTTGTGCCAGTGACACAAGAACATAGCGTAGATGTCGTAGATGAAGTAGGGCACTGCAAACTGAGTGTAAGCTGAGGATAGCCAGTGTCTGCAGGGCAGAGAGAGAGAGAGAGAGAGAGAGAGAGAGAAAGAAAGAAAGTTATGGGGTCAAACATAGCAACAGAGTGAGAAGGCAAGAAAGACCAAGAGAAGAGGCCCACTGGGGACCAAGAGATGAAGATAGAATGCTAAAATGAGAGTCAGAAAGATATCCAGGATGAGTGGACCAAATAGCTGAAGGTAAGGTAAAAGAAATCGGTGTGTTCAGATAGACCAAGCGATGATGTGAGCAAATTAAGAGAGGATAGGGAGAGGGATAAACAAAAGTGTCAGAGAAGAAAGTAGCATGGTGTCACATAGATCTGGACTAGGAGTCAGAAGACCTGAGTTCTGTGATAGTCTAGCAGTATGACACTATGCAGGTGACTTCCCTTCTCTAAGGCCTCAATTCCTCAATTTCTTTGCAGGGAAGGAGTCAGACCAGGTGGCCCCTAATGTTCCTTCTAGCATTGTTTGACATTCTATGATTTTCATGACAGATCATAGAAGGAGTCAGTAATAGAGTCGATGCTGCTGAGTATGTCAGTAACAACAGTAACAATTCCAGGAGGTTGAAGTCCAACCTGACCCCTGAGGAGTGAATGCCAAGAGAACAGTAAGAAGAATTCTATATATCCTGACAATGACCAACTATTCAAATAACTGGAAAAAATATGTAATGTTGTAACTATTATCTTTGAATCAATGCCTTGGGTACCTTAATAGAACTGCAACCCTGTTGCAAGTGTCAGCAGGAATGGTACAGAGAGATGGAGTCCAGGGTAAGACACAGATAACAGCTGAGAGATCAAGTCACATTCTGGTAGTATTTACATGAGATCAATTCCAAGGCAATATGACGGAGACCGCAGAAAAGAACTGGATATGGGGTGATTGTGGAGAGAAACAGCAACAAAGACCACAGAGAACCAGCTCATGGCAGAAAGCCTGAGGACAGAGGGCTGGTCCTATGAGAAAAACCAGTACACTGACTTTGAAGGAACAAGTTTGGGGTGGGAGAGGAGAGGAGGAAGACAATCTGTCAACCAAGAGTTAAAGACTTGAGGAGCCAAAGGCTTTGAAGTATGAAAGAGGAAGGGAGAAAGTGTCTGAAGGGAAAAGAAATGAAAAGAAACAGCCCAAGAATGGAAACAAGAGGTGGGAAACAAAGAGGAGGAGACAGAAGGATAAGGGCACAATAGTGGGCAGAAAGCAATAAAACTGGTCCAGGAGAAGAAGAGAAAGATGATAAGGGTCTGAGGTAGCGCTAGAATACCAAAGTTTAGAAGAATGTGGGATTGTAGGATGAGGGCCAGAAAGTGCTAGGAAAGTTACCAGACTACAACAAGTTAATCCCACATCCCTAAAGCCCTCAGTAATTAGGTACCTAGAAGAAAGAACAGCTGTTACCCCTGGATTAATCTTGATCCCTCCCATTCACCTGAGGATTAAAAGGGGGGAGAGAAGGAATAAAACAGAGGGAATGAAGGAACTGTAAGAGTGATGTATAAAGAGTGTTGGAGGAAACTGTATGGTAAAACTAGATCATCCTGGAAGCAGGGTGCCAAAAGAGTTGTAAAAGGGGACAGGATAGAAAGAGGAGATGGGGACAGAGATGAAGCAAAGACAAGTCATGAATAAAAGAACTCTGAGAAATGGAGTTGGGGGACAAGTTAGGAGTCAAATAGATCATTATCAGCCAGAAAATGTGCTTTCTGGGCAGTAGTGTCCTTTCGGGAAAGTGAGACACAACCCAAGACTTGAGGAACTGACTTGAATCATAGCACAGTTCTGTTAAGCATCAGGTCACTGTGAACCAGCTCATCAGCACCCTGGACAGTGCTGTACTCTACTCTCTTTTCAAGCCTTCCTCCCGCCCTCTTCCCGCCCCACCCCCTTCCATTGCCCAGGGCTTTTGGCAGACACCCTGCACTGCAGCAGCTGCCAGTGCCAAACTGCGGCCTCTCTCCACTCTCCCCACAACCACCTTGACCCTTGAGGTCTAGCATAATGTCATCTGCACTTTTTCCCTTACACAAGGGTCTGGCTGGGGCTGGACCCCTAAATTATGAGATGGGATCCAGATCTGAGCCCGGGTGGGGATCTGACTGCCTAGTTCCTAGGTGAGGGAATGAGGTCTGAGGAGGGAAAAGAGCTGAAAACCAAGGGCTATTCAGGTCCTGGTGGGCTAATGGAATCTGGGGAGCAGTCTGAGAACTGAGAATAACTTTGAATGAGCTCTTGGTCCCCCAATTCCTTTTCTCCTCCTGTACCTGACCTTTAAGAACAGGACAAGCTAAATTTATCCCAGGGTGTTGAGTTGCAGCAGGTGTAGTTAACTTGCTCAAGCCCAGATTGAGGACTGGAGGAAGAAGGGACTGTCTCATGTGGATTTGGGAGAATCCCACCCACTCCACTAGTGCATGGGAGAAAGGTCAGCTCATTGCACTTACTGGTCATCAATGATATGTTTGCAGGAGGTGGAGACAATGTAGCCAGCTGTGGAGGCCATGATAGCCTGGACTGAGGATACTAGCCTAGGGAAAAGAAGGGGAAGAGGTTTGGGATGGAAGAAAAGAGTAGGGTGTTACCATTCCTCCTTTATATTGAATGTATAGGACTATATTTTGGGCTCCATTCTTCCCAGAGCATCTTTTGGACATTATCCCTCAGGTTTTCCTTAATACCTGATCCCATACACCCTGACGTAGCCATCTCTGGCTCATCTTCTAATCTCTATCTTACCTCCTTCCCCAATCGCGCAACTCCTTCGCTTCTGAACCTGTCTGATCCCATTCCTCATTTGCCTCTTTCTTTTACTGTTTTGGCGTGAAGAAAGTTGGAATAGATTTCCCTTTATCTTAAGAGAGGAACCCAGGCACATCATTTTGAAGTGAGACAATTCTGAAAATGTGCTGTTGATAAGGCCTCCCCTAGGGAGACAGCAACTTGGAAGAGAAGGGGACACTTTGGGGCCTTTCACGTTGGCTTGGCCTCACAGTTTTGCAACCTAGGCACCACATTTCCTGCAAAGCTCTGTCACTCACTCCTGCCTACCTTCTCATTCTTTTATTTCTCATTCTCCCCTTCCCTTAACTTTTTCCTCCCCATTTTAGGTGCCTCTAAAGTTCTATCCTTTACTTGCCTACCACCCCTTGTCCCTCCCTCACCCCCCAGCTCTCCACTTTGTTCCCCTAGTCTCTTCAAAACATGTTTAGTCACATGCTGGCCCTATTCCTAGTGGTGGGAGGGGAAAATGAGGGAGAGGAAGGGGGACAGGATGCTAGGAGACCAGATGATTCGGGCTGGATGAGGTCTTCTGGAGCAATAGAGGAAGCAGTAGAAAAGGAAAAGGTGAAGGGAGATAGAAAGAATCGCTGCAGGGGGTGCCTAGTTCCCTGAAGGGTCCAGAGGGTCCAGAGAAGAGATACGGATGACCTGAGATGTTTCTTTATAACTGTGTAGTTTCCCCATTCCATCACCACCTTCCCATCCCCATAAGACCCAAGAGATGGGGAGAAAGGGCTGGAGGGAGAGGAAAGGAAGAGGGGAAGCCGTTTACCTGGCTGAGACAATGACTGCGTCGGCCTCCTCCCAGCGCAGCTGGGGCAGCCTCTGGAGCGTGTTCTTGGAAAGGAGGAAGAGTCCCGGGAACACAACCCCCCCAGCCACCATCGGGGACAACATCACGGCTCGGGGATTTGGGCAGGGGAAAAATGAGTAGAGCAATAAGGACTGGGGAAGGCGAGGCCTGTGAGGAGTTGGAGATGAAGGAGGAGATAGAAAGGGGGTTTGGTTAGGGACAGAAGTAGAGAGGAAGGAAGAGAAGAATTAAGAAAAGAAAGAATATAGACAGGACGGACACAAAGAGGATGGGATGGGGAGAGAGGAAATAGAAACAGGAGGGACAAGAGGAAAAAAGAATGGAATGAAAATGGGAAAAGAGAAATGGATAGGGACCTGAGAGGAAAACAGGAAAGATAAAGAGAGGGAGGAGAAGGAAAAACAGAGGGATGGAAAGAGATGGAGATGGAGAGGGGAGCGGATACTATGAGAGGAGAGAGAGAGGGATAGAGACAGGGGACAGAGAAAGGGTAAGGATGCAAATGGAAAAGGGACAGAGCAGGTAGGGAGGTTAAGCAAAGAGATAGCGAGGGCCTGAGAAAGGGGGTGGGAGTTTGTTGTTCCAACCCTAAGGGGGAGGAGGGAAAGCCGGGGAGTGGAGGGGAGGCTGGGGAGGGGCAGATAGGCAACGGGTCAGCAGTCAGTGCTGCTCTCCCGCCTCCGCCTCCTCCTCACACTGCCACAGTCATCACTGTCTCTCTGACAGACACGGAGATGGCACATGGCATTATATAGACCAGGCCGCCCAACCCCCTGCCCCCTTGGTGGGGATCAGGGAGGGGGGGAAAAGGATAGGGAGTCACCAGCTTGGGTGGACGGGGGAGGGGTGGGGAAACGACAGCACCGACCAGACACCAAGAAACCGGACCTGCAGCAGCGTCTCCCCATGCAGCTCTGAGCCTCGGCGGCTGCGACAGAGATGGGGGGGAGCAGAGAAAGGGGGATGGGGGGGAGGCCCTTAAAGAGACAGTGGCTGCGGCAGAGGGGGCTTGTGGGGACACAGCCCTGATCGAATCATAGGAAGAAAGGGAGGACTACTCTCCTGGAAAAAGGTAGTCCTACGATCTTGAAATTACCTAGGAGGTAGCCCCCTAGCCCCTCCACCTCTAGGCCTGACCCCATTTCTCTATCAGCACTCAGAAGACGCCTGAAATTGCCTCCTTCCCTACCTTAAATAATGTCCCTAGCTGACTTTACTCTAGGGGGACCAGGGCTAGGAGTATGAACACTGCAGACTGGAATTCCCTTTGGTGGAAGAAAGGGGAATTGGCCTATTATCTCAGAGCTGGCACTCTCCTCTTCTCTGGAGGATTTGTCCTTGGAGATTGTTAAGGAAATTGAGGTGAGAGAGAGGATCCGAGTGGGCAATAAACTGATGAAGGAACAGATAAGTCCTCCTCTGAAATTCTCAAAACATACTCCTGACTCTCCCCTCTATCGTTCTAGTGCCAAAGCCTTCAGTTCTATCCCTTAGAACCTAGTTGATAGTAGTAGTAGAAATAATAATAATAATAATAATGGCTCGACAGCTTTGTAAAATAAATAGTGAAAGTAGTATTTTTTTTCCACTTTTTAGATGATGGAACCGAGATTCAGAGGCTAAGCTCATGAACCCGCTGCAAAAGACCAAGTCAGAATTTAGGTTTCCTGACTCCCAGTTCAGTGCTATTCACACTATAACACCTGTCTTCTCGATCTTTGCCCCTCATCTCTAATCCTGTCCCACCGTGCCGTCGGGTCTCCAGCTTCCCCAGTGATTCTTTACACCCCCTCCCATTATGCCAATTCATAACACCCGATTCTACCCAAGGCCTCAGCATAGCACCTTGATGCTCCTCTGCCAATCATTCACTATCCCAAGACCCTCCAAAGTCCCTTTCATTGCTTCATTATTCATGGGTCCCTCGACTCCTTTGCCTCAATGAGGCAAAGACTGGAATTCAAGATCTTGTGCTGCCCCCCAGTGGTCAGTTTCTGGCACAGCTCTCTGGATAGTCTCAGGCCTAAAGCAAAGATGGGTTGCTTGACCCTGAATTTTAAATGTCCTTTTAGAGGAACACATTTGTTCTTTCTATCCGGATCATGGCGGTGGGGTGAGATATAAGCATAGGCTGTGATTGCCCCCAAATCCTAAACTACCAAAACTCTAGAAGAGAGACACACCCCCATGCCCCTAGTCAGGGCAGGAGTTAGAAGTGATGGGGCTTTGTATTGCTTGTGTTGGTGGGGGTCACAGGAGCTGTTAGGATTAGAACTGAGGTTTCATATATTTTATAGATTCAAGATTCAGTTTAAGAGAAAACTTCTTTTTTTCTCAGTAGGGACTTCTTGGATCAAAGGATCTTACACAGAGTTAGAGTAGGAAAAATCTGAGAGATCATTTATTCCAACTCTGTTATTATACAGAAAAAGAAATTGATGCCTGGAGGGTTAAGTGCCTTTATTCTGAATAGATCTTGGCAGGCTTGCTGTGGTCAAAGACAAATTTATAGTTGTTTTCCCCCACTCCACTTTCCATACCTCACAAAAGGGAGGGACCAGATAGAAAAGCCAGGAAGAGTCTCCAGATGAAATTCTTCCTTAGGTATCTGATGCCCATCAAGCCCTTGGACTCTGCCCTCACCCTAACCATCTTACTTGGATGCAATCAAGACGGCCTCCTTTTTCTCCATGTGCAGACTGGAATGCTTCTGCAGGCTCCAGCAAAGGACGGTAAAGAACAGTGGGAAGAAAAGGCAGCCTACTGCAAAAAGTAGGGACATGCCTGCCTGGGTTGAGGGAGTAGAAAGGGCAGTGAGTGGTAGGACATATCTCTGGAATGCCCAGTAACTCCAATTTATCTATCTGACCTTGGCCATTATCGGTTAGCAATAAAACTCCAATGACAAGACTCTCCCAAATCACCATTCAAACGACCCTTCAAAGAGCTCCACTTCAACCCACTCTAGCTGGTGCTTTCTCAGTTGTCCATGGCTCCTAGTTGCCCCAGAGAGCCTCCACATCTTTTCCCATCCAGCTGGTTCCCTTTTGCTTTAATGACTTCTAAACGCCTCTCCAGCCCCTCACTCTGAGGCAATTTAACCCAGGAGCCTTTTAACTTATTCCATCCCCTGCTATCATCTATCCAGGTAACCACCTTCCCTCTCCTTTACATGGATCTCAGAGGCCCCCAGAAAGCCTTACCTCTGAGGCACAAGAAGAATGGGAAAGAAAAGTTAATGATTTTCTTCTCAGCTCCAGGAACTGCAGAGGGAGTAGGATAGCTAATCCTCCTTCAAAAGAAATCTTTCTCTCTCTCTCTCTCTCCTCTCTCTGTCTCTCTGTCTCTGTCTCTCGGTATATATATATATTATATATATACACATATATTATATATATATTTTAAACAAAAACCGAAAAACCCTAAAACACTCTTTTTCCCCTTAAGAAAAAGGCAGGGAAAACGTCTAACATCTAATTTTTAAAAATTAAAAAACCATCCCCTCCCCTCCCCCCAAATTCTCTGTTATGTGGAGGGGAGGGGAGGGGGGAAGCCCGAAGGTGGGAGAGTGGGTCCATAGGCGGCCATTCTCTTTTAGTTCCACGGCCCTCTCCTAGACTGTCCCGTCTAAAGCGTTGCTGAGAGCCTAAGGGGCCGGGCCAAGCTAAAGAAGGGGCCTCGGGAGGTGGTTTTCGATCCTGGGCTTCTACTTGCGCCAATATGCGGGGCGCGGGGCCACCAGCAGCGGTTGGGAAGGGCAGGAAGAGACCAATGCGCGTGGAACTCGCCTGCCAGTCCATTAGGGTAAGGAGAGAGTGGAAGAGAATGCTTGTGGAGAAGAGAAGTGGGAATGGAGGAGAAAAGGGATGTGGCTGGCTGGTCAGTCCTCAGTCCTGCCTCCTCCCGCTCCAAGTTGCAGCCTTAGCTCATTGGGATTCGGACAAAAGTTTGACTTCCTTCTCATTCCGTCTGTTGGTGAAGAGGATACCTGGACACTTGGAGGGATAAAAGATTTTGGTAATATGTATCCCTCCATCAATACAAATGACCACTTCTCCAAATTTTCTCATCCAGGGTATTCTCCTCCATGTCTTTACAGAAATCCTCCATTAAAAATCCATAATGCCCGAAGTTTTCTCTGGTTCTTTTAATATCTCTTGTGGGCCAATATACCACTTGGGATGCCCCTCTACCTTTTCTCATTCTCTGCATGACAGGCTGTTATGCTAACTGGGTTGTTATCTTTTTGCATAATTTCTCCCCATAAATCATCGATGGTAATAAACTGCAGCTTATTTACACCCCATGTCTTTTTCCATTGTTTTTCGGACTACTTTATCATTTTGATTCATCAGAAATCATGGTGTTCCATGATGAGCAGCCTTAGAGCACAACTGGGAAAATTAAAGCAGTAGACTGTGATGACATAGAGCAGTTTGAGGTCATTAAAAGCACAGAGTAATTTCTCAAATTCGATCCTAACCAGTCTTCTCAGGACATCGGCTTAAGATACAGGAATGACGGGCCCTTAGCCAGGGATAGAGGACACCGAACAAAAACTGCTAAAAGTGAAATTGCCTAGAATCTTGAAAATCTAATGAAAACTCTCTAAATTGAAAAGGAAAGGGTAAGGGAGCAGAGCCCCTGTATGTGTATATGTATGTATACACATATGCATACACATACACATATATAATCTACCAAGGTAGATACCATAGAGCAAGACTTCTTAATCTAGGAGTCTATGAACTTTTATATCTATATCTGTATCTATCTATATACATACATATGTATATGTATATATAGAGAGAAATTGATTACTTCAATATAATTGGTTCCCTTTGTAATCATATTTATTTTATTTTATGCATTTAAAAACATTATTCTGAGAAGGGACCCATAGATTTCACAAGACTGGAAGAGGGGTCTATGACACCAAATGGGTTAAGAACTCCTGCCATAGAAAGTAGCTTTAATGTAGGAATAATAATAGAATTAGAGAAGCCTAGAAATTCACACACACACACACACACACACACACACACACACA